GAGCTCAAACCCAATCCCTGGGTATGCATGGTGCCCACGTACGGGCCCTTGAAAGTTTCTTCCGGGTTAGTTGCCAAGTCGGGAAAGAGAAGCTAGAAGACTAGGATTTTGAAGGGATGCTTCCTGACAGTCCTGGCGGTCAGTCTGAAATTCTTTTAGCTAGAATCATCTGCCGGAAAAAACAGTGCCGTTAGCAACAAAAATCTGCGGGGAGTTATGCAAAAAACGCATTCGCACGGGTAGCCTGTGCGTTGACCAGTTATTGATTATGGGGAAGGAGTGGGGTGACTCTTAAATCTGAATCTTAAAAGTTTCGATAAAACTAGCTGAAAGCGTTTGTTTTGTCGCTGATGCGAATACTGACCCACTCCTCTAAGCACCAAATCAAGCATGAGTTCCTCGGTCTTAGTCAGCAAGAATCTTTACACAATAAAGGTTAAACTTTTGAAGCAAATAACCATGTCCACTGCTGGACAAGTGAGGTTGTGCGTTTTGCAAAGCTGCGTTTATCAGTTGATCAATGAACCAAAGAACAGAGCCTTTTATCAGTATGGTCTTTTGTCAATAAAATAGAAATTCCTGAGTTTGGATGTCGGGAACAGCTCGATTGTTTGCTTTAAATTATTCTAAAACTAATTTATGAAAAATACCTCCTTGGTTTTCAAATCATACGTCGCCCTGAATTTGAACCTGCGGCTACAGGCCAGAAAAGAGAAAAATGGGACTTCTCATAAGTCGAGAATTAAATTCCTCAAATTTTCGGTGTCGAATTTTCGCCATTCTGTGTTTGAATTTCCTTGATGCGCACAAACGCAGGCACACACAGACATATACGCCAACGCACACACAAACACACGCACATACGTGATTTTCTTATGATGCATTATCATTTGCATGCATGTAAATACATTTAAAAAAAAGGCAATTTTGTCGTCTGAAAATATGATCTTGGTTAACTCCGCACTGCCAAGACGGCCGTTTTCGAAAACGCTAATTTTATAATTCGTCTTATTGTTTCCTTTTTGAAAGGACGAAGGAAAAAAGGTGAAAAGGAACAGCAGGATTATTCGCAGCTCGTCGTAATTATTAGATCTGCATGGAGATACCATAAGAGTGGTGTTTACGCAAGTGATTTTGAATGGCATGAATGCGAAAGTGTCATCTTTGCATATTGGCCAGTACTGGATTGTTTCTTTGTCCTCTGGGCATCCGGGCGTATACAGGCGCTCCTCATGCGGGAAATTCGCCGACACAAGCGTCGTTACATTTTCCTGAAATCCATTTTTGACAAAAAAAATCACTCCCACACAGCACAAATTAGGTCGCTATCTGACGCAGCTATTACATGTTATTCCAGTTTGCCCAACAACATTCCCAGTTAACCTAATTGTCTGTTGGCCAAGGCGCTGGTGATCCTAATAGTAAGTTCACTGACATTCAAAGCACTTGCTCTACCAATATTTTAGAGAAGAGTATTTAGTCAGTCATTTTTAACTACCAATTCCAGTCCATTAATATCAAGAACACCAAACTGTTCGGACTACCAATGTGGAAACCTGAAAAGCTAGAAAGCTAAAATTTTAACGACTAGTTCCACATCCATATAGGTATTAATGAGCTCAAAACCAGTCTCCGGGTATGTGTGGTGCCCACGTATGGGCCCGTGAAATTTTTTACGGGTAAGGCGCTAACTCGAGAACCAGAAAAGCTAGAAGATTGAAATTTTAAGAGGATGTTCATCATCCTAGTAGGTTTAGTGAGCTCATACCCAATCCACGGGTATGCGTGGTTCCCATGTACAGGCCCGTGAAATTTTTTTTCGAACAAGCTGCTAACTCAGGAAACTGCCAAGCTAGAGGACTGGAATTTTAAGGAAACGTTCCCCGTCCACACATATGTTAATGAACTCAAAACCTGGTGTGTATGGCTCCTATATCCAGGCCCGAGAATTTTTTTAAAGGTAATTTGCTAGCTCGGCAACCAGGAAAGCTAGAAAGCTGAAATTTTAAGGGAGTGCTTTCTGACAGTCCTGGCGGCCAGTTTTAATTCGTTTAGTTAGAAGCATCTGCAGGAAAAATCGACACGGTTAGCGACAAAAACCTGCAGGGAACTATGCAAAAAACGTATCTTCGCATCGGCAGTCGGTGCGCTGGACATTTATTAACTACTGCGCTCTAGAAGAGTTCTCTAATTTTACGTGCCAAATGAGTATTAATTTTACTTGCCAGATAAGTATTAATTAATTTTACCTGCCAGACTAGAGCCCAGAAATCGTAAACGGTGAGAAAATTTGGTCCCTCACATGCCAAATACGTCCTACCATCCTGACGTTCAATACGCTGTGCATTCACCTGTAATAGCCCCCAATCAAGTAGCCAACCCTTCTCTTGCTATGTACTCTTGATGCGCATTGAGCTGTGCAAAAGCTTTTTGTTGTCAATATCCACTGCTTTGCACAACATAATCATAAGTATCGCTGTTCTGGGTTCGAATCCGCAGCGAAACAACCATTCCCTCTACAGTTCGTTCATTCGTTTCGACGGCAAATTAACATGTCGTAATGTCAAACTCACTATCACCTTGCTTATTAATAACTCTCCAAAGGGTAAGTCAAAATTTCCCTCTAGCAACAGGACCTCCTCGATCGAACTTCGTTGTTTTGCTTTTTTAGACCTTCTAAATCTTTTCCAAAAATACATTCTCTGAATCCTTTTCAAGTCGTTTTATAATCTTTTTTAAACCTCGTTTTCTCTTTTATCTATTCCTTCTTCATCCCATTCTCATCCCCCCACCCCCTCACATAGTCTTGCAGTCACAGCCCCTCCTTTTCTTTCCTTTCATCTTTTTCTATCTCTTTGTCCCTTCTCTTCCTTTTCCATTAAACGCTGCGAGTATCGTACCGACGAGGTTCTGTCGTAGTATTGTGTTTAGACGTATATGACATAATGGACCAAAAGTCTTATCTCATTCTTGCCTCGTTTCCTCATTCTTTCCTGCTTCGCGTACCCAATGCGCCTTCGATACTTTGGCGCCCAAGATCAACTTGGATGCTACTATCGGCATACCAATGAATTGTTGTTATTGGCACACTCGCACACCCACACCCGCAAACTAAACACCCGCTAATTCCGAGTGCTACAGCGTTTATAAAAGGACTTAAATTTTCTGGTTTGTATTGTTGCCAGAACTGTTTAGGTGGTTTTGGGTTCATTCTTTATCGAAGGAGAATTTTGGTTCCAATTTTAGAGAATGATTGTTTATCCTTACATCCTTACCCTCATATTTAAGCGGCTCGGACGACTCTTTTTCACAAAAAAGAGCACCCTTGTATTCCCAAGCAGTTTTGTACTTGATTATATCGCTCTTACTTCTCTTCAACTTATTACTCATTTTCATCGTCATCGGAATTTTCATCACACCTCAAAGTTGTAATTGACAGTTTTTAATTGCAGTGGAAAATTGGTTGATAGGTGTGGATAAGTTTCTATTAAACGGTAGGACCTTCAGGATTCGGGAAGTATTCAGACTGGTCGGAATTTGTATGAACGTGGAAATGGTGCTGCGGCTGCGTGTCGTCGGTGTTAGTCGTCGATTGCTTTCCTTCTGTATTGCGTCAAATTCCTCGCACATCGACTGGTACGCATCGGTTATTGCGAATCGTGATAAAAACCAACGATCAGCCTAAAAATTCAATGTACCAGGAAGCTCCCTGCATTGGTCAGTATCACTCATGAAGTCCCTTCTATTCTAAACTGCAACACTAAATGAAGTCAGGTGGTTGCCTTGTTGTCAGAGTACTGTAGCCCTAAGGCTGCTCGAAAATATATTCTACGGACTTTAATCGTATGGTAGGATAAGTAGTATTTAATGGATCCAGGTCTGTTTTGTTCCTTTTCGATTATTGAAGCTTTCGCACAGTATGCAGTACTCCAGTTTGGTCAGTGTTCAACTCCTTCGTATTCCGATTAAATTTTAAGCTCAGTTACCGTAACGGCCTTTTTTTTAAAAATGCCTGCTCTCACCTAAATTTACAGAGACTTTCCACAGTGTCTCTGCTGTGATTATTCTGCCCGAGCCATGGACGTCTGTGCGTTTTGACCGGAATGAAATCACGTTGTCGAATGAGAACTGAGAAGTTATCTTCTTTCGCTTTCGTACCTTACGTTCAGATTTTCAAACCTGTGCCCTAGCCTACTTTCTCAAAAGTACTTTAAAATAAGAGCTGCAGTGAGGTACTCAATAGTTCGTATCTTATACACGAAAATGCCTGGAAAAGCTGTTAATTTATACTATAGCTTTCCGCCTTTGAAGCTAGGGACTTTTTCAGTTCGTCAATTCAGTGCTGAATTGTCGGGTGGTCAGCCTTCTGGCGATATTGAGGTTCGAAGTTGTCTCTTTCAAGCAGATTGCCATTTGAACGAAATGCCTAGCACGGCTTAATTTTTTATTCGTTTCGTGATGCCTTTGGTGTATTGTTGAGCATTACCATCTCATCTGAACGCTGCTATTCTTAAACTATGATGAGGTAGCTTATCAGTCAGAAATCGCTCTTTATATTGCTTCCAATTTTTATGCACGAGGGGCGTTGCTAGAAAAGCCAAATTTAACAAAAGCTTTTTATGCATTTTTGCATATATGCAAAAACAAATATTGTGACGACCTCGTGTGTGGGTGCGTCTGCCCGGGTATTTCAACTCGGCACCCAAGCAACCTCCGAAGCCAAAATTTTGCGAGTGGGTTGCCCGGCCAAGTGCCACCCCAGGACCGAGATACCAATCCTCAAGCACGTCTAGGCCCCGCGTACGAGCGCCTCAAATTTTTGGCAGGAAAATCGGTAACTCAGGATCCAGAAAAGCTAAAAAGCTGAAGCTTTGAGGTTATGTTCCCCGTCCATATGGAACGCAAAGATTTCAAATTCAACCCCCGGGTATGCGCGGTACCCGCTTATGTCCCCGTGAGGATTCCTGGCGCGAAAATCGCTAGCTCGGGAACCAAGAAAGATGGGAGGCGGAAATGTTCCCAACTCATCTACAAGTTAAGTTTATCAAATTCAGCCCCCCCCCC